GGGTTTAGGGGTCTTGGGGGTTTAGGTTTTAGGGGTTTGGGGGTTTAGGGTTTCGGGGTTGGGGTTAAGGGTTTTGGGTTTTGGGGTTTAGGGTTTATAGGGTCTAGGGTTGGGGTTTAGAGGATAGCCAGTGCTGTGAAGTGCAAGCAGGGAGCCTCATCGCCTGGTACCTATCCGAATTATCCTTTTTGAAATGCCGCTTGCATGGATGACTTGCAGCAGGAAACGTGGTGCTTTTCGTTGGATGGTGATGGTTTTTGGTTAGTCTGCTGCTGCTGCTGCTGCTGCTGCTGCTCCGAGAGAGACTGCTAGAATCTGCGACATCGCCAAAGGAGGTCGGCGATGAGTCCGGCTGGGGCGACCTACCCGTCGATGAGGCTGCACCTGACCTCGTTCTGGATTGGAGCTGCAAGTTCAGATTTTCACAGGGTAGAGTTGAAAATCCTCAAACTGAGCCCCTCCTTGTCTTGACTAGCTTTGGGGACAGACTCCGAAACTCCTCGCTTGGCTGCATGTGAAGGGTCTGCGGGGTTTGCATCCGTGGTATCAAAACCAAGGCATCAAACCTACGTGGCACTAAAGCTTGTATACATCATCAAACGCCCAAATGCTGACACCTCAACATTATGAGGCCTGTGACCCGCGACCTTTGGTTGCCCCGAGGAGTATCAACTTACTACCCGAAATCGTTTTGTAGTCTCTCAATCCCAAAACCCTCAAAACCTAATCCCTAAACCTCAATAATGGCTCTTGCTGTGCTAAAGGGGACAGTACTTGCCTGCCTCAACGAAGCTATTACTGGGATTCTGCTGTGGAGAAAGGCCTTCAAAAAAGCTTCCTACACCCCTAAGGCAGGAGATGCTGAAGTCTGTAGTTGTCAGGCCAAGCTGGAAGATCTCATCGTCCGGGCTAAGTCCTTCAACGCGCTGTCCAAGAACGCCGCCCCGATGCAACACTGTTGCTTAGAGTTTTGGATTTAGGGTTTAGGCCTGAGGGTTGAGAGTTTGGGGTTTGTGAGGTACCATAAGGATTTACAATAGAAAGTGTGTTTCCAAGCAGATCAGGGCCTTCACAACAGTCCTTTCTGTGGCAGTGTTCCTTTCATGGTCCTGTAACCTATTACGCAGAATCCTACTGATCAGGAGGACCCGAAAAGCAGGAGCCTACTTTTTAGGGATCCTTATGCCAGGAATCCCATTGTATGGGAGCCTTGATAATAAGTTCCAGCTTGTGGGTATGTATGATGCCGGTGAATCCAAACAGACGATGCCCGGCCACAGGTACTTGCTCTGGACGTCTTTCTCTTTGAACTTAATGTTGGAACCTGGTTAAGGAACCCTGGTCTCACAGCCTGTACAAAACAGCATCCTTGTGGATACGATTCTAGCCGAAAGCCTTGCAAGTAATGTAGAAGACTGATAGTTACGAACCTTGTTCCTGATATGATGACGTTTGATTCTACTATAATAATGCCCCCAAGCTTAGTCTAAACATTAAGGTAAACCGGTAAACCCTTCTCAGAACCCCTCCAGATCCCCTTAAAAGGAACCCTTAAACCCAAAACCCTAAAGCCTTTTCGTAGCCCCTAAACCCTTAAAGAAAGCACCCTGTTCCATCTCGCTTCCGGGAGTTTCTGCCAGGAAAAGAACGACAGCATCACGGGCATGTGGATGAACCACGAGCGAAGCCCATCGGGCTTGTGTTCCTGCCAATTTAGGATTAGGGTTTCAGGTGTAGCGTTTAGGGCTTACGGTTTAGGGTTTAGGGTTTGGGTTCCTGCCAAGTTTGGGTTTAGGGTTTAGGGCTGCCGCCTTCTTGTCGGTGCCTCGGGTGGGACCCCAATGTAGAGAACTACCCATATAGATGTGCTATAAGGGTTCCTACAAAGGTATCTTGGTATAGGGTTACCATCAAGGGACGATAAGGGATATGTGTTACCATGAGGGTGCTATAGGGGTTACTACAGAGGTGACGCCGGAATTCTGGTTAATTTCACCACCTTGTAGTTACCATTTTCACTATATTAATAGTGAATATAATCCGTAGTTGCCACATAATTTCAGAAGAGAGGCGCATCTTGCAATACGCCGTGCTTTAGGGGGTACAGGGGATACTAGTAGGGTACTAGAAAGGCTACTACTACGGCAAGGGCATGTGAGGACTGTAGCGGGATGTGATCTTGGTCTGCCTGAAGGTTTGAGGAAGCAGCGTGCTGGATCATTTCAAGGCAGCCCTAGGGCTCCAGTTACAGTGCCCTAAACAATGGGCTATTCGGCTATATACTATAAGGTTAGTAACCTACTATTCAAGTCCTGGGATATATACTATAGTGACCTACTGTTCAAGTAACTGGAGCCTTAGGGCAGCATCACTGACACACGAAGAGCCCAGAGCGTCACATTCTCAGCACAGCACCCAGCAGTCCCACGAAACCAACGAGGAAATCAAGAAACAGCACGAACCCCACGCCCCACCTCGACCCAGTCCAAATCCAGAACCCACAACCGAAAGAGATGTTCCTGGCAACAGGCAACCGCGTGACTCACCGCCACAGTCACACCTCCTCCACTGGAATGACCACGTCCACCAAGAGCTTGGTCGCGTGACAAATGCTGCACGAGAGCTGACGGCCAGCGAGGGGTTCGGGACGCCACAGAGATCTGAACCTAGTAGTATGCGCAGATATTGAATGCCTGGTGATAGTATTCCCTAGTAACTCTAGTAATTCATGCCTATATTATTTAATATACTCCAATAGAACCCTAAGCCTTGTTCTAATCATCGGGGCCTCTATCTCATCCGACTTCATTTAGGTAACTCTTGCGGGTTATGGCAAGCAGCCTCGAAGTGTAAACCCACAGCTCAGACGAGTTCCTCGAAATTCTGCATGCCTGAGCCCCTAAACTTTTCAAGCTGCAGGCCCTAAATCCTAGACGCCGGCCCGGAACTCTACAAAAAATACGAGAAAAGCAGAAGAACAAGAAAGCCTGAACAATCACCGGTTTAGGGTTTAGGGTTTAGGGTAACTCTAACAAGTAAATCCCCCCTCTCCCCAAAACGACGAAAGAACAAGCCCGTCCAAACCCTGGTGAAACTATGGCTAGCAGACCCCTGCCTCGTCCAAGCTGCGGTGAGTCGATCCATATCTATGTCGATGTCCGCCTAGAGCAGCTTATTTCGCACATTTAGTGTTCAGGGTTGTTCTACATTCTACTTGAGATTGAGGTTAAACCCTAAACCCTAAACCCAAATAGGGGTTTGTAGATTCAGCGCTTGGGGTTGATGGGGCTTTGCTTTTAGGGGCGCGGGTGGCTTGAGGCGCATGGTGCTTACCGATGTTGGGGTTTTCGGGCTTCTGCCTGCGGAATATAAACCCTAGGTATGTCTTAGCGCTAGCCCTAGCACTTAACACTAAATCCTAAACCCTGAAGCCTAAATCCTATCGGGGGGGTCGGGATGTTGCGCCTCCCTGGGCTAGCGTCCTTAGGTTCAGTATTCATGACTTTTTAAGTCAGGGTTTAGTTGTTTTAGGTTTAGGGGCTTTGGGGTTAAGGGTTTCGGGTCTTTGATGTTTTGCACGATCAGTTGTTTCTAAACTTTGACATCGATATGTCAGATGCCAGTCCACCGCAGCTTTGGCGTTTGGACACGGATCCTCAGAAGGTTTGGCTAGCCGCTGCACCCGAAGAACAGAGTGCAACCCAAACGGTTTGCGCAGAGGTTGCGACTCCCAGTGGGCAAACGCCTGCTCCAGCGCAGACGGAGAATAAGTCCAGGTGACAAGAGTGCTGCCGTGACCACAGCTCAGCCGTCCTCATGTGTTTCCCAGCCACATGTGCCAGCCTGAACACTAATTGAATCCTTTTTTTCAACTTCAAACCTCAACCCGAGCATCGTAAGAGCAGCACACGGGCTGAGTATTCACTGCAGTGCACGACGAACTTGCACAGAGCACATTGCCTGTGCTGCGCGGTGAGCGCTTTACACCACAAGTGTTTCACATTTGTTCCGTTAACATGGCGCGAGCCAGAGTAACTTCAATCTGAAGCCCCTTCGGGCCTAAACCCAAGGGCCAGAGCCAGCACTAGACCGCTTCACACCCTAAACCCTAAGCCCAAAAGCTCGATATCAGGCTTCTGCGGCAGTCACGCCGAGGTGGAAAGTCACAGCAGCCGGGCGAAGCCCGCAAAAAGGGAGTCGAGCTTGGGTTCAAGGTCTCTGCCTTCAGGGAGGGTAAGATGCTTGTCTTTGTTGACAAGAACCCTACGAGGGTTTAGGGTTTAGAGTTTAAGGTTTAGGGTTTACAGTTTAGGGTTCAGGGTTTAGAGAACTACCTAAGTGGCTGGCTGCGAGCCGAGCATGTCCCGAAGACCTACACTGCAAAATGCAATACCAACTCGCCTTGCGACCCTCACTGCGCCAGGCAGCAAACGACGGGAGGCCCTGCGAGGCCACGTCCTTCAGGGCTTTATTAGGGCTTCAGGATGGGAGGTTTAGGATCGCGTTTAGGGTGTAGGGTCAACGGGTAGAAGGAGGGGCTATGATTGAATGTGGAAATCGTTCTGCCAGCGTCGTAAGCGCTGCACATTCACTGGGGCCTCCTTTGTACTGCGCCTGCTGCTGCTACTGCTACT